TTCAACTGCAGTAAAGGTGATCCCACTGGATACGGTTATCCAATCAGGAAGAAGGTAGACAGGCTACGTTCAGGGCACCTTTTCTAGCCACCTCCCCATGTAGGGTGAGCAGACTGCATCCTGAAGAGGGCTGTTTAGTGACAGTTCCAGCTGCCTAATCAAAATCCTGTCTCATCCAAGTGCTAGACGACCTTCTTGTAACCACCGCCTTTATGCCAGTTCATGACTAGGACCTTCCAGACTTCACAATTCTGCTCCTGTCACCATTAACTGGTTGCCACAGGGCTTGAGGAATGTGATGGAAAAGCTGTATCATGGAAGATACTTGTGAATGACTCCTTTTAATGTGGAGAAGCTGCTCCACATCAGCTTCCTCATGGCTCTTGACAGAACAGGACCTTGATCTAATGGCAAGGAGATGAAGACATCTGGGGATCTCATTATACTGCAGCCTTCATCTGCCTTCACAGCTGCTTGAATTCTAACAACATCTGTTGTGGAGCAGAGCTGTATTCCAACCCAGTGCATCCACTGGTCGCAGATAGTGGGAAGACATTCAGGGAAGGTTAGCTGTGAAATAAGCAGGGGTAACTCTAACAAATAAGTATTTGTGGACCATGCAGTGGCAGCACCACCAGGATGTGGTGAGGACAGCAGATGGTGATGCTTTCCCTCCTGAAAAGCCACATATATTCTTTGACAGTGCTGTGACATGACGAGTACAAGTTGCCACTATAATAAGCCTGCCCAGAACCCAGCCATGTGTCTACTAGTCCTCAATGGCAGAGAAGGCAGAAGAAGATGATCTGATCTACACTGGATGAGACCCCATAAAATCTTCATGTCACTGCAGCCAGTGACAATGCTTTTATTAGATGAGAATTCTGTTTACACTGGGCCCCTTGACACCTCCCTAGAAGAAATGATCTCATCTTAAAAAGAAGTCATATTTATGCTAACTTTAAGTCTCTTTTACAGTACATAAGCAGTATAAAAGGGACCATACTGTAAATCAGAATCAAGCCTTTTATTTATACAGCAGCAACAGTGGAGGAAGAGCATTAATATACAAGAGCAGAGGTTCCTGCCACAGGTAGGTTACAATTTAAATAGATAATATATAGAAGTATAGAGAATGGGATACAAAAGTATAGGCTTGTATGGTGTGTATCTTGTTATTATCATGATCATTGTTAAGTTCTGATGTTTTTGGGGGAGGGGGTTAATGTTGTTTACCACCTCCTTTGTGAACCGTTTATTAGTAAGAGGAATACAGTTCTACAGTACTTATGGCAAAAGTGATTTCTAAGGAGAATTTTGAAGGAAGAACAAGAGGAATGCATTCAAGATTAGGGAGATCGCTTCACTGGAGATTTCCAGAACAACTTCTGACTGAAACTAAGTTGTCTTTAATGATATTGCTTCAAAAAGTGCATGTCACAGGTAATTCCATGGTGACCCAAGTACCTCCAAATTTGGGAGCGCTAGTCTGTCTATTGTAAGGTTAGGTATTTTGAGTATCACATCTTTGTCCACCTAATGTTATAACACTGGCATGCATTTCCAAGGTATTCACTGGCATGTATTTCCAAGGCATTCATAGCAGCTATGAACGGTGCGTGCCTCCAGCAGCTGAGGGGGGGCACGGCTGCGCCGGCAGCAGCACAAGTGTGGCAGCAGTGGCAGGAGCTTGGCAGCGGTGAGCAGGGAGCTCCCACAGATGCTGCCAGCACTGTTGGCAGTAGGAGGGAGTGGGGGGGGGGGCGGCAAGCACTGACTAGGGGTTGGCGACCATCCATAGGCGCTGCCAGCAGTGTTGCCGATAGCCAGGGGTGATCGTGGACCGCCCACAGATGCCACCTGCAGTACTGGCAGCAGGGTGGCGAGCAGTGACCACCTGCAGGCACCACTGACAGTGTCGGTGGTGTCTTTTTGCAGGGGGTGCACCACCACGCACAGGGGGCTCACATGCACTCGTATGCATCCCGTACATGTCACCCCTGATAGCAGCAACATTTCTGAAACCTCTTAAAAAGGATTTGATAACAGTCTTGAAAAATAGGCAGTTACAAAGAGGGTGGAGATAGCCTTTTCTCAGTGGCTATAAGGGACAGGACTAGGAGCAATGGACTTAAACTGCAACAGAGGAAATTTAGGTTCATAGATTTCATAGACATTAGGGCTGGAAGGGACCTCGGAAGATCGAGTCCAGCCCCCTGCCCAAAGGGCAGGAAGTCAGCTGGGGTGATAGGATCCCAGCAAGATAAGCATCCAGTTTGCTCTTGAAGGTGTTCAATGACAGTAAAGAAATTCTTCCTTATGTCCAGCCTGAAACGGTCTTGTCGTAGTTTATGACCATTCGACCTAGTCATCATCACTTGGGGCGCTCTGGTGAACAAACATTCCCCCAGATGCTGGTGGTCACCCCTGATAAACTTATAGGTGGCCATCAGATCACCCCTGAGCCTGTGCTTTTCTAGGCTAAAGAGCCTCAGGGCTCTCAGCCTGTCATCGTAGGGTCTGCTTCCCTGACCTCTGATCATGCGCGTGGCTCTTCTCTGGACTCTCTCAAGCTTCTCCACATCCTTTTTGAATTGCGGAGCCCAAAACTGGACGCAGTACTCCAGCTGCGGCCTCACTAAGGCCGAGTATAAGGAGAGAATGACGTCCCGGGATTTGCTTGGGAAGCATCTATGGATGCAAGCCAGCGTTTTGGTCGCTTTACTAGCCGCAGCATCACACTGCAGGGTCATGTTCATCTTGTGGTCAGTGATGACCCCCAAGTTTCTTTCTTCTTTAGTGCTAGCCAACATAGCAGTGCCGAGCCTATAAGGATGCTGCGGGTTTTTCTTCCCAAGGTGGAGAACCTTGCATTTATCGGCGTTGAACACCATCAGATTCTCTAGGTTGAAGATTAGATTAGACAGAACTTTGAGGATATTCAAGCATTTGGACAGGCTACCTAGAGAGTTTGTGGAGCCTCCATCCCTGGAAATTTTCAAGAGCAGGTTAGGCAGACACTTACCTGGGATGGTTTAGTAAGGAAAAATCCTGCATTGAGCAGGGGCTGCATTAGATGACCATATGAGGTCCCTTCCAGTGACACTGGAGTGCCGAGGAGTTGATCTAATGTCATATCCAGAAGTTCCCTCTGGAAAAGTGACATTTCTAAGACTATGACACCATATTGCAGTAGTTTGGTCTGTATTTTGTTGCATCTACAAAAGATGCACTCTGTACTCACCATTTCCAGTTTCAATGAGAGAAAGGTGGCAACTGACAGACTTTCCCACTCTCAGGGAAACATGGGAGTTTCTTTCTTGTATTCTTCCACAATAAAGATAAAACATTTTTAGATGTGCACTTACATGAGGAGGCAAAAAGGTAAGTTTCCATTAGAGGTGCACCGATCCATTGGTCCCATATCGGATCGGCACCAATATAGGGAAAACTGACTGCATCGGCAATTCGTTTTTTTTGGCTGATGTGGCCAATAACGTGGCTGATAAATGCCCCACGCATGCGCAGCTGTAGCACAGCATGCAGGCAGCCAGGAGTGCAGCCTGGCAGCTAGAGAGCAGCCAGGTCCAGCTGGTAAGTCTGTTGTGAGGGAAGGGGCATAGGGAGGTAAGGGGCTGGGGGGTGCAGATCAAGGCCCCAGCGGTGAGCAAGGGAGTGGGGATGGGGCAGGGGCAGGCACTGCACAGCTGGGGCAGAGCAGGGGATGGAGGTGTAAGCGGTATGTCCAGGGGGGTGGCTCCCACCACTACGTGCACTCCCAGGCAGGCATGGGAGCATGTGACCCCAGATCTGTGCACAGGGTAAAGGATGGCTGCTGCTATGGGGTGGGGATGGGGTGGTGCCAGGCTCTTCCCAGTGGGAAGCTGGACTGGGCTGAGCTTGGGGTGGGCGGTGGCAGTGCTGGGGGTGGGGTATGGTGAATTTTGGGGTAGCTGCAGGCCCCCTCCCCCATAGCCTCCTCCTAGCACCACTGTTGCCTGCCCCAAGCACAGCCCCAGCCCAACCCCCACCAGGAAGAGCCTGCACCACCCCGGCCCCAGCCCGCAACAGCAGCCCACCCTGCCCTGCGTGCAGATCTGGGGAGACACACCCCCCATGCCCTCCCAGGGTATGTGCAGTGGCGGGAGCTGCCCCCTCCTGTGCCCCTGAATAAGCTCCTCATACCCCCATCCCCCACTCTGCTCCAGCTGTGTGGCACCTGGCCCTGCCTCTGCCCCAGCCCCACTCCTTCCCTCACCACAGGAGCCTCGATCTGCCCTCCCCATGCCCTTTCCTTCCCCCTTCGCCTCTTCCCCCACAACAGACTTACCAGCCGGACGTCACTCTTCATGCCCCCAGGTGCATATCGAAATCAGATCAGTATCAGCTGATATGGCTTGTTAAAAATTGCCCATCAGTATTGGCCCCAAAATTCTCTATTGGTTCACTGCTAGTTTCCACTCTCTCTCTCAAAACCCCACCTTTGTAGCAAATGGAGACTGACACAATACAGGGACAAAGTACTTGGATTGGGGCATGGGGTGACAAAAACTAGAGTGAGGATAGGTATGCATGATGGGACAATGAGGTCAGCCTGTCACATTCACTTTCACTGATTAAACTATATCTGCATTTGATCTAGTTGCCTGTTTGGTTTTTTTTTCAGCCAGAATAAGGAAAACAGAATGTGAGGAGTTGAGAGTAAAAAAAAAAAAAAAAAAAAACAAACAAACAAAAAAAAAAACAAAAAAACAAAAAAAAAAAAATCAGTCTTAAAGAGTAAAAAAACAATTGTGGTTTTGTAATGGTAGGGGGTGCAGGAAACGTATCACAACAAAAAATAGTGGATAAGTGCCCTGGATGTATGAGTTGGGTATTGAATCTTAATAGATATGCCTGGATATTGAATTTTAAATTCAATATGGTATTGATTTTTAATGGAAAGATAAGCTAAAACCTGAGAATTAAAAACAGGAAGAGAGATTAAATCCTTCCTTTACCTTTTCTTCAGTTACAGCATTGCAGCTACAGGCCTTCAACAGCAGGTCCCTCCTCTCTTCTTCTCTCAGACTTGTAGAAACAGAGTTACTTCTATGAGCTGGCAGTTTGTTATGAACTAGCTCCACTGGTTCAAGCTCCACATCTCTCCAAGCCTAAAAACAAGTTGAAAATGACTCAGGACGCCACATTCTTTCAAGCCATTTTATTTTTACTTTTTCCCACCTACAGGTTAGCAAGAGGCAGTCCCCTCATCTAAGGAGGCAGTCACAAGGCTGCCATAGAGCCATGGAGTAGCACTTATAGTTTAATGTTTGGGTGGAGAACAATTTTCTCGACCAGGACCACATGTGAATATTTTCAGCAGCAAGCCCAGTGCTTCAAGCTGTGCATTAAAGAGGGATTTGATTTCTTCAGTGAAACAGGGTTGCATACAGTGTGCAATCAAATCCTAAAATAAATGTGGTCCTTATATATTCCTTATATTTTGTATCTCTAGAGTTGGAACCATAAGCAAATAAAGCTTTATTTTCCTAGAAATAATTAGTAAGGGGTATAAATAATCAATGAAAGAAAAGTGAGGCACTTACGTGTTCATTGTAGCACCAATGCAGGGTCTGATTTTGCTTTTACTTATACCAGCTTATAAGTGAGAGCAAAGTGAGAGAGAGAGGGAGAGAGAGAGTTTGGAATACAAGCAGGTGCTTTTTCTAAGACCACAAGATGAGCAATCATCAAAAAAGCTCAGCCCCTCTGCTCCTGACTTTCAAACAACCCTCTAATCTTGCCCAATTCATCACCAGAAGTAAATTCTCTCCTGCCCAACAGACATCAAGTGGAACACAGCCATGACCTAGCAAGAAATGCTGAACCTGTCGACACATGTCTACTGCCACTGCTAACACCATAATGAAACTATCATGAATGAAACCATAGTTCCTACACCTGCCTTTCCCAAATTGTGATGCATCTGATTCAATACACCAAATGCTCTCATGGCAATGATGTGGCTGAAGCTAAACAGCAACTGTGCACCAGAATGAATTCTCACATTAAAAATATAAAAGGACAGATGCATACAACACTAGAAGCACACTTCTCACAGAACAACCACTTGCTTTCTGACCTCTCTTTCCTGATGCCTGGGGCAATCTACTTAACACCTTTAAAAAGGAGAACCTGAGAACAAAGCACCTCCCCACTGCTGTTTACACTGGCTCTGATCAGGACAGTTCCCAGCCAGCCCTGGCCTGTGCAGGGAAGTCTGCATGTGCAGCCAGAAACTGGCTGGGGACTTCCCAAAACAGGACAGTCCATAGCCACCTCCAGGCTGCAAGTGCTTCCCTACGCAGTCTGGGGCTGGCTGGTAAATGTCACTCAGGGGCAGGTCCCAGCCAGCTCCAGGCTGGGTGGGGAACTGTCCCCAGGGAGGGAGCTCCCAGCTCCTGTTCTGTGGTCGCAGAACCACAGAGCTCAAGCTGGGAGATAAGGGTTTCCGAGCCCTACTCCCTGATTGCAATGGTGGAGCAGGGGGCTGGAAGATAAGGATCTCCTAGCCCCCACTCCCAATCTCGGAGCAGGGAGCTTAGAGCTCCCTGCTGCTGAAGCAGGGGGACATAGTCCCCACCCAGGTTCCTGTGCCAGAGCCCGTCTATACAAGCCCTACGGCACCATGAATAATCCCAAGTAAATTTGGGAGGCTTACTGTGTGTCTACATGTGTACATGCTTACTTCACAGTAAACTATGCTAATGCAAAGTTAAGCATGCAGCCTCTGATAACTAGTAATGAAGAGTTTGATTTTCCTGTTAATTACTGCTTGGGATTCTGTCTTGATTTACACAACTATAAGAATGCTTTGAAGATGCTGAGCTAAAGGCAATAAAAGAGGAATGAAACAGCTAATGGCAAGCTTCAAGAATGAGAAATCATTCTGACAAGAACTGCTACTGTGCCCAGCTGATCTTCTAGTGAATAGATCCATACGCTGAGAAGCTGACAAGACTGAGACCACCTCTTTGCCTGTACTGGTGAGATGCTACCACTTTTGCAGCTTAATATACTGGACTTTGCTTTGCTTTAGGCTCATTTAAAAGTGAATACTTGTAGTAAATAAAGCCTTTTTCTGTCATTCATCAAATGAATGGTCATGTCAGTCCTTTATACACTAGTCCCAAATCCCATTCTTTGACTTAATGGTTAAGAGCTGCCTACAATTACTACTTAGCAAGGCCCTCAGCTATGAAGTTCCACAGTAGCATAACCAGGGATGAACAAGCAGGGCACCAGGCCTGGGCACTGATTTAGAGGGGGCACCAGAATGGCGAGCCCTGGGGAGCCTGTGCCATAGCATCAGCTGCTCATTGCTGCTGCAGCAGCCTGTGCATGGGGATGTCAGACTCTTCAGTGCTCAACATCTACCCCACTTGTGGCACCAAAATTCTTAGTTATAACTCTGTAGTTCCAGAACTTCACCAAGCATTGCAGTCATGCAACATGTACGAGCCTCTGAGCTTAGCATTTATTTCATCTGCTGCTGATTTAGCCAGAAGCTACACAGCTGCACTGAATTGACATTTTAGAAACTATCCTTCCTCTTAGTCCTCAAAAAGATTGCCTCTGGCAGTGTCAATTCAACAAAGCATTAAATTACCACAGCAGCAGCCACCGCTGTAGCAGCAGCTGTTTTGTTTTGAGAACTGTAAACAAAGATTATATCAAAACGTAGAAATCTTTAAACAAGAACATGCCTTAAAAGGAGGATGGCTTACAAAACAAAGACAAACACAACCACAATTCTAAATGATGGAGGAGAAAAGTAATGGTGACTAACAGAACAAAGACACATCTCAGCTCAGGAAATGTGCTTTTGGAGAAGAACAGAGAATCTGCTTTAGTATCCACTGGTCCACAAGAGACTTGCTGGGAAGGAAACTGGGAAGAAACTGTGGTTCATGAAAGCTTATGCATCTCCAATTCAGTTAATTTATAATGTACACCTCTACCTTGCCATCTGCCTGACTTCAGACTAACATGGCTACCTACCTCTACCTGGGAAGAAAAGGAATCAAAAGTGAATGCAGAAACTCCCGCGAAAAAGAAATATAGGAGATAAGAAAAGATGAGAGATAAGTGAGCAAATTAGGATCCTCTCCTTTTTATCTCTCTTCCTAATGTTTTGTCCCTTTACAACCAATTTCTACTGTTACCTCCCTGTAAACACTACCAATAAGTCTTACATGATCAAGGCTTAATCATGTGAGGAGCCTCAGTTAAGTCAATGGAGCTAGATGCATATGTTCCTGGATAAGGGTCTTAAACAATCACATGGAAAATGCACCTCCCTTTGGTGTCTGAATGTTGACATGCTCTATATAAAAGTTTAGGTTTAAGCAAATTTTAATACATTTATAATGATTTCAATGCAATTACAGTTACAGTATCATCTACTCTCATGAATAAAGCCCTCATGTGTCACCCCTATTATCAGAACCCAGTAGCAGTGAATGGAAATTAAATCACACAGCTTGAAATTTCTATATTTAATTCACATTGCAACAACATGATTTGCTCATTCTTTCATGGCCATAGCATTCACAATCAATATAAAAATGAGTCATTCATAGGGATGGTTCAACCCCTTGCTCAAGGCAGGATCAACCCTGACTAAACTATCCCAGCCAAGCATCTGACTAACCTGTTCTACATAATATTTTTGTTTTTCCAAAGGCTTCACAAATAGCTGAATCAGAGTTGGGCAGGAAATGATTTGCCCATCCTAAAAAACTGTGACTTAAAAATTTTCATTTTCCATATTGGGACAAACCCAAGATCTTTTACCTGTTTTATTAAAAAAGACATAGGGGAAGTGGAGGAGAGAGAAGTAGATGATACACTCATGCAACCAAAAATAACTAATAGCCTAGTGGTTAGGGCTGGAATGTGAAAGAATAAGGTTCAAGACTCTATTATTTCTTATTCATGCTAGGAATATGAACCTAAGTCTCCTATATCCCAAATAAATGCCGTAATGATTAGTTTATGCAGAAATAGGTGAGGGTTTTTCTCTCTCCCACAGACATTCAAAAGCTTTCAGAAATTTCATCGTTTAATTTGGTACATACCTTCCCCCAAACATTTTAGCTTGGATAAACTGATATTTTGACAGGCAACTATTTTGCTGGAAAATTCCTGTCCTGCTCTACCTCTGTCTAAGTTTTTTCAATATTGGGTAACTGGGAACTTGACAGGTTTTATACCTGCCTTCCTTCACAAAACCAAGAAAAGACTTACTAATTCTCCAGCAGATATTGATGAAAGACAACTAGCCTTCTTCTTGGAAGAAAAGGATTGATGACTGGATAGAGAGGTCCTGAATGAGGATTCATTTATGGAACCTGACAGAAGATCACTCTTTGATATCCGTATTAGAAATCGTAAGCATGGAACAGCACTGCGAATAGTATTTCTGAAAGAGAACAGAGAAGTAAAAATGTTAATCTGCCCAACATCATAAATGCCAACGGCAATTTTTGGAAAATGGTCTGACAAAACCCCTCTTGTTGCACATTTCAATACAGTTCTGACTTTATAAAATATTGAAGATTACATAAAAGCAGTTTACAATAGCAACTGCTGACTACTCAATAGGCCAAATACATAGACATCAGCTGCCCTGAGATTTTTAAATGACAAGACTATGCTGGGAAGCCTGGATGAACAGTGAGAATTGAGAATACAATGTATTTTTTTGTAATATAACAATTTAAAACAAGGATTTGCTTGACTAAAAATAAGAGATCAACATAAAATCACAGTTGCATACTTGGCTAAGTTATCTCCTCCTCAGAGATCTGCCCTAGACACAGGACCGTAACAGTTATAACTTCTTTATTCTTTGGGTCAATCTGCATCAGCCTTGCCACAGCATAAATTAGAGCAACCAACAGGGTTCTTCTAATCTATATCTTCACATGACCATACACCAGCTGAGCATTTGTAGACCATCTTCACACTCTGCTACTTCCAGCATATTTCCACAATGGTAGAAATAGCTGGCACAGGACTTAAGTATCTTAGCTTTACACAATTCTTATTTGGTTAGCTATGAGCATATTCTAGATTTTTTGGTCTGTGTAAGAGATTTGAAACAGTTGGTTCAAGGACAGAGAATCTGACCCACTGTTTTGGTCTAATAAATCTACAATTCCATATCATTCCTGATTAATTCTATGAATTGGAAAAACAGCAGCAAATACTGGAACCAAAATACACAAGCTACAAGCAAGTCAGAGCAAATTACATCAAAAATATGTGAAACAATTGCAAATTACATGATACAAAAGGAAGCCAAGACATACATTAACTGCAAGAGGCAGCATGGTAGAACTGGATGACTTGCAACAGCAATTAAAAGCTTGAATATGAATTCAAACTTCTAAACTCATTTGTTTTATGTTTATAATTTGTACATAAAATGGAAGCAACAGGCTTCCCTCAATGAACAATCTGACAAACAGGAAAATATGAAAAAAAGGAAATTTTAGCAAGTGCTCCACTACACAGTGAAATAAAATGTTACATTAAGAAAAAGTGTATATTGACCTCAAAAACTTGATCCTGGGTTCATCTACACATGCAATTAATGCAAAGCAATAAAATCTGGTGCTTATCGTGCCAGAGTTTATTGCTCCCAGGTGCTGCATCCTCATGTGCACCTGGGACCACAGCATGTTGAGACGGGTCAAAGCAGCTTCAGCTGCCAGCCCAGCTGACTGGGGGCCTTGGGGATCAGCCTGCCAACTGGGGCTGCTCCAAGCTGGCTCAACATGTTGTGGAGGGGCTGGCTGGGGTATGTTTCTCCTTGTACTGAAGTTTACCCTTTGCAGTAAACGTCTTGTGTAGATGCACCACTCCCTGGGCATGTCTACACGTAAATATTAACATGCTGCAAAAAACTCCAGTGCTTGTTGCACTGGAGTTTACTGGTCCCAGGCACATGTTTAAACACATGCCTGGGATCACAGCATGTTGAGCTGGATCAGAGCAGTTCTGGCTGGCAGGGGGTACAGTTGGTCAGCCTGCCAGCCTGGGGTTGTTTCCTCTCGCTCAACATGCTGCGGAGGGGTGGCTGGGGCATGAAGGTGCTTTAGCATGGGGTTAGCCAGCAGGCAGCCCTGATACTGAAATATCCTTGTCCCCCAGCCAGCATGTATATGTGCGCTGCTACAGAGTAAAAGTCTGTGGCATGATAGTATTTGTATTTACAAGTACTATCCTTCTGTGGAATAAATTACTTTACTCTGGCCTAATAGGGGTGCACATGGCATTTACTGGTGGCATTTACTGCATAGCTAATTAGTCAACTGTGCAGTAAGCATCTCATGTAGACAGCCCCCCTGAGAACTATTCTGTTCCAAACAAGGAAGAAAAAATTCTTCTAGGATCTCTAAGACTTATAGGGACTGCAGCCTATTCAGTATTCTAAAGAGATGCAGAATTTTGCATCTCCACCATCTATAACCCTGCTGGGGCAATAGAATGTACAGCCTTACAGCTATAGGATATTTGAATTCTGGGTCTTAGGTTCAGATCTTGAAGTGAGTTCTATAATTGCAGCTCTGATAACCTCACCAATATTGAGTAGACACCGATATTTGCCCACAGAATGATACGTCTTGGTCTAACTGCTTGCTTAGGGCATGATCATGTCTATTTAAATCATGCCAGTTAAAAAATTGTCTACAGATGCAAAACTGACACTGTGGCTAGGGATAGAAATTACTCATAAACTGGTATAAGTGATTGGAAACCACTTGGTGTTGGGCAGAAATCTGTAACATAACAGAAGTTCAGCGCGCATAAACCACTTCCAAAATGGTTGAAACCAATTTAAGATAAACCTGGATGAATATAGTATCAGGCTTAACTGATTTAGGTTAAATCGGTTTACTGAACTTGTGCCCCAGACCCCCTCCAGATTCAAGTTAACTCATAGTCCCCCAGCATCCCAGGATGCTTTGCAACTCCCCTGCAGCCCTCCCCAACACAGAGTGGGTGGGCTAGCCTTGCCCCAAGCTGTCTGCTCCAGCTAAGCAGGGAAGCATGTTCTAGCACCCTCCAGCTTCTGACCTGGGTCACTGCAGGCATGTGGCTGCATTGATGGAATCAAAATTGAATACCTGTTCATTTGCTTATCAGTTCAATCTACACACCTTAGATTAACCTACAAAGGATAGAATTGATTCAGCCTTGTGCTTTTTTGATTGCCTGTAAATTTGACATTATGGAGAGATGGGTGACTAGCTGGAGAAAATAGCTGCAAGAGTTTAGTGTAAACCAGATGCAGGGACCTCTAAACTCTTGCTGGACGCTGGTTTCCCAGGTTCTCAATTCTCCCCAGGTTCATAATTACTGATATATAATCATTAAAGACTGTTTCTACATGTGGATTGTGTATATATTAATCAAAGGGATTGGTCATGAAAACTTCCCTTTCTCTACCCCCAGCTAAGTGCAGAATTTATAATAAGATATTTAATCCAGGTGCCCAAAGGTGATGAGGTTATCAGTTCTTGCCTTCATATTAATCGTTTAACAACTGTTGAACTATGATGGTCTTTAGAGGTTATCAGTTTGGTTTTGACTCTTAACACAGATTGTCATTCCTTATGGTAATGGATTTCAATTATTTTATGTTATTGTGATCAAGCACTTAGTATTCTCCTGTTTAACTCAGCAAAAAGAAGGAATCTGGCCTTGCAAGTACATCTTTACACAAGGTTAACCCAAAATTTCTATAATTGTAGTTAAACATTTATAGCAACAGTACCATTACAGTTGGGAAGATATACACAGGATATACACTTATGCAAAGACTTCTAATGCAGGAGTCAGCAACATATGGCCCACAGGCTGGATCCAACTCACAGAGGTCAAAGGCTTTACCTGTGTCTGCACCTGCACTGAGGCTAATCAGTGAGGAGCTGTTCCAGGGCTGAGCAACTTCTAGTTGCACCTTTGCTGCAGATTCTTCCCACCCCCTAGCCTGCTCCCAGATACAGTATGAGTAGCCGTCCTGAGGCTGGGCAGCTGGAAGCTGCATCCACACTGCTGTCACTTCTTCCCCCCACATCCATCTCCCCCACATCTCCACACTGTGGTGCGGAAATGACAGTAGCATAGATGCAACTTCTAGCTGCTTGGTTCTGGCAAAACTCCCCACTGGTAGGAAGCTGCAACCATGTCCCAGACAAGAAGCAAGGTTCTGGGAGAAGCAGCAACAGCAGCATGGTTGCAGCTCTCATGTACCTGGCCCTGGTCTGGCTGCAGGGAAAGCCCATTGCCTCTGACAGGACATGAAAGCCACCCAACCTACATTTGATCAGAGCCTAATTGTTCCAGTCTGTAGCTAGGAAAAGGTTGCTATTCGCTGCTCTGATATATTCCTTACAAGTAACTCATATTAAGCAAGTTAGTATTCACTCAGAGTTTTTGCCTTTCTAGCAGATGTCTAAAACTGAAAGGTACAAGGACTAAACACAGACAGAAGGCACAGACAGAAGTGACAATTTTTGCTCAATCAGGCCCCTGAAAGCGCTCTACAGCAGTGACCAAACAGAACTGTACAGCTGCAAAATGCTTTAAAAGGGCCAAATTCTGTAAAAGTCTGAACCTTCATTGTGTGAGGGTTCAGATGAAGACATTTCAAAACACAGAGTCTTCATTAACTTGTGTCTTCCTGCCTCCCAGCCTCAGAGCTGTTTTCAGAGAAGCAGGAAAGGGAACAGAGGGAGTCTGATCTGGGGCTTTTTCAGCCAGCGGTGGAGGGGTGGGCAGGTGGATCGGAGTGCCCTCACAAGGTGGGGACTCCAAATTATGTGCCCTACCCTTCAGTACTGGCTTGGGAACCTCTAAAAAGAGCTCCCTCTTCTGCCTTTTCCCCCTCCATTTCTGAAAACAGCACTTGGGCTGCCGTTGCTAGGGAAAACCGGCTGCAGGCTCACAGCCAGCAGCTAGATTCCCCAAACCCCCTTGCCCCTGGATCCAACAGTGAACTTCTGTTTGGTCCAGGGGATCATTGTAACTCAGAACACTTCCTGCAAAGCATTCTGAGTTACAGCAGAGAGCTGTTCTTCTGTCTGTGCCCTAAAAAGGCAAAGAACACAGGATCTAGAGCAGAGGCAGGCAAAGTCCTGGTTGCAGGCTGGATCTGGCCAGCAGTAGACTCCATTTCCCAGCAGCCCATGCCCACATGGCTGGGGCCGGTCTCCATGGAGACTCCAGCTGCTGTGTTGTGATAGCACAAGGCTGGGGTTGTCATGGAGACCAGCCCCAGCCATGCTGGCAGGGGGTGGGGGAGCAACGGCAGAGGGGCGGGTCTGCTCCAGAGCCACTGGGACCTTATGGCGGGGGCTGCTTGGTCCAGGGCCAGGGCAGAGCCATGATCCCAGCAGCTCCGGAGCAGCC